TTTTTTTTGTGTGTGTTACTCACGAGTCATGATGCTCTGTTATGTCCCTCTTGAATTTTGCAGGCTCCAGAGGCAGGATTGCTAGCTCCAGACGTAGTTATCTACCTTGACATATCCCGAGGTATATGATGTTTAATGTACTCTTTTCTTATTACTAAATTACATGAGCATATAATCACTTCGTGTTACAAATGCCTGTATTATGGTGTATTGAACTTTTCGAGGCAACTTGTCTGGATTGTTATCTTCATGATTCAGAGCACGTATTCAGTATCAATTTTTTGAATGCTTATATAAAACTACTTAATTGTTCATAATAATATGAGAACACCAATATTCTAGAATTGCTGATTTTTATTGAAAGCTCCACTCTAGAATCTTGGTTTTCACGGATTTTTATTGTGTCAATTATGTGTTCTTTCTAGTTACAGACCTCTTGGTTCCTATAAAATTATAGTATTCTCAAGCTAATTCTCAACTTATTTAAAAAAATTTAGAAAGCTGCCGAAAGAGGAGGTTATGGGGGTGAGCGGTATGAGAAGCTCGAGTTTCAGAAAAAAGTTGCTCAATCGTATACGACACTTCAGGACTCGACATGGAAGGTATTGAGCTGTAGACCATTCCTTTTGTTTTTGTCAAATTAAACTATTAAAGGTATCATTGGGAGAAAAACTTCAGCTTGTAAGTTTTGTTTATGGGATCGGATGGTATAAGTTCACTCATATTTTGATTTTGTTTATTGTAGATTGTGGATGCAACTCTCCCTATTGAAATTGTCGAAGAACAACTGAGACGAATTGTCGTAGAGTGCGTGATGACGTGTCATAAAGGGAAGCCTTTTGCACACTTGTGGCAGAATTAGTCATCTTTTTTTCCTGTTGATAGCATGAACTTGTTAGAATTGCAGCACATTGAAAACATGATTCAGGCTTGCAACTATTATATTATGAGCAGCGTAATTTATTTATCCCCTAGGTGATGGATAAACTCATCAAACCCCACATGTATTCTTGTTTTGTTTGGTATTGGTGATAAAAATTTCATTAGTATGGTGAGTTAATTATTGTAAGAAAAATGTTGCAAGTACATAATAAATGTACGTAGAGGTAGAGGTAGAGGTAGAGGTGTACATAACACTCTATTGGAGTGAGGTTCACTTGATTTTTTTATTTTTGGTGGGACTCACTTAATGTGAGAGTTATGTATACCCGTATGTCCACTATTATGTACCTATAACATTTCTGATTGTAAAAAGCTCTTCCTATACTTGCTTTTCTATCATGTTTTCTATAATTGCGGTACTCATTCATATTATAATTTTGTTATGGCCATGGGATAATACCTTGCAATTACCAAAAAAAAAAAAAAAGTGTATTTACATAACTCTTAATCATATCAACTTTAAAATCTACAATCTTGAATCATGTCAACTTTAAAATTAACAACTCAGACTCTTACATATCTATGTTAAAATATTGTGATAGATGTTATAAAACCAAAGAAAATGTACTTTCTTTGTATAATTTTCATTATAACTGAGGTTTTTATTTATAGGAAAACTTTTGATGACAAAATCGTAAATATACAATTCCTACAATATTCTTGCCCTGAATACAAAGCCATCAATTTTTTTTAGTTGATTTATGCATTATCTAATTATCAGTTCTGGTATTAGCGTCGTGATGCCCAATTTTTTGGTATTTTTTTGATGCATTAATACAGTAAACGTACGGGGAGCCAAGTTTCTGCTTGTAGAATATCGTATTGCAGGTAGTAAATAGTCTGTATCACTCTTTACCCATCTTTCTCTTTTGATTTTTCATCTGTTAATTCCACCTCTGGTTGTGTAAAAGTTGCACAAAAGAAGAGAAAAATGTCGTTTCTCCTATAGAGTTGTTCGATATATTGATATTTATGTTGTCATTGTTATTGTTACGAGCGTCATCGAATCATCATCGTCTCCATCTTTTTATCCAACGTCATAGCGGCATTGAGGGTTTTGTTCGGGAAGCACCATCTCCTACGAGATTGTCAAGCTGCCAAGCCCATATGGCAAGCTTTTCTGGTGGCAGACCATGGAGTTCATATTATCCCGACAATTTTGCTTTTACGATAGAGTAATGAAATTCAGTCTGTTTCATGGAGTTGTGTTCGATTTTATTTTATCTTTTTAATGGACAAATCGAAATGT